GTACATTTTCACATAGAGATTGTTTAAAAAATTAATTTTTACTTTCAAAATATGAATCAGCATACCGATTTTACCTAAAAAGTGATTTTACATTAATCAAATTTTTGTTTTATGTTGAGGTGAAAGGTCAAACACGTTTTCTTGATTTTCTCCGTTCGAGAAAAATGTCACTTGTGTTTCTTTTACTTTGCACGACAGATATGAACTTCCTACAAAATGGTCCTTGTCACAAACATATGAAATAAATACGAGTATAATTTTAAAAAATCAGGAAATAATGATGAATATCAATCATTTAATAAAATTCTTTTTTTACCTTGGAGCACACACTCAATACAGACGTGTTACAGCAAATATCTCCAATCCACGCGAAATATTTAAAAACTGAATTATAATTTAATATTGATTAACATTATTATAAATCTATATTGTTAATTTAATATAAATAATATTAATTTTAAAGAAAAATTATTAGTTACTTATTATTAATTATAGTTAGTTTATTATTAGTTTAATTCATTTTCAGATTATGTTCAAATAATTAAAATTTCAGTAAAACTTCTGTTAACTAATCTGTCAACTATTGGGACATGTCAATTACTGAGACAGGTCAACTACTGGGACATGTCAATTATAGGGTCATGTTAACTAATGGGGTTTATACTACGGACAGACGGACGCCAAAGTGAAACTATAAGGCTTTCGGCCATGGGCCACGAAACTCTAAAAATGAGCCACTAGTTACTATTATAATTAGTTATTTTTTACTACTTTAAATTTGAATTAAATTTTATAATTGTTTTAAAAGTTTGTTCATTTGTAAATTATCACATTGATTCGATTACTTTTGAACATAATTTTAATTTAATGATAATTTGGCTCTGTTTTTACTGAAATCTACATTACACTATTATTTATTACTTACCGAACATTAAAATACAAGTTTTTACAAATAAAAAAACATATTGTCTTTAGAAATATAAATGTTTCATTGAATAAAATTTTTGTAAAATATTCTAAACTAAAGAAATATTTAATAAAATTAAGGCAACAATATTATTTATAAAATGTTTTTTACATTTCATAGAAATAAAATTTTTAATGAATAAATCATATATAAATTTTTGACTTTAAGAATATAAGTTCTTGCAACTACATTTTCAGTACCGCGCCAATGTTTACTTGCCGGAATTTGGTAAAACTGTTTATTCTGTTCTGCGTCAAGATTCGACTGCCAAGACTTGGCATAAGTATGGCAGAACTAATTATTCTGTATTGCGCCAGAAAGTGCTGGCAGAACCAAGGGTTATCCCTGTTGAAAATTCCTATGTGAGAACACATATGGGATCCCATCCAGGATGTAAAAGCAATAACACAGGATCCCATGAGGTTTCCTGTGTAGGTTCCTATATGAACAAGACGATAAATAGGAACACACATGGGATCTTATCCGAGATCTTTTATGAGTTCTTACATAGGTTCTCACATATAAGAAGATTAATAGCAGCTTAATAAGATTTTTGTTTTAAATTTGCAAGTGAACCTAGCGATAGTTACAAATGAATGTTTTAATGAATGTTTGCTTATAACCTATTGATAATCTTCATATCTGCATATTTGTCACATTTATCATATTTTAGCATACGTTAAAAGTGTTAAAAGTTACTCAAAATGAGTCTGGTCAGAATTTCCAATTTTTAAATTGGCAACAAATTCAAATTGATTTTAAAAGTAAATAGTTTTTCTTATCTTTGACTAATACTAGATAGATTTTTAAACACCAGTAGAAATATTTAGTGATTACTAAGTAAAAAAATAAATTATTGTTTATTTAAACTATAATTAATTTATAAGTTTTCAATTTTAGCGCCTTTATTTAAGTTGGCAATACCCTGCTTTCTGTCAAAACATATGTATTCTCGTTCCTAACCTATAAAAATATGTTTTTCTTTGAATACGATTATAAGCAATTGCTTATCAAATTAAATAATATAATAAGTATTAGCATGTTACTTTAATTAAATAATTATATTTTATAGATTAGTATAGAACTATTTGTTATTTGACACAATTTTTCATATTTCCTTAAAACTCAAAATAAGTCTGGCATGACTCATGTTTCATGATTAATAGTGATTATAATCACTATTAATCATGGTCGCTATAATTGTATCAGAAATAACTCGTGAGAATACACTAGAATACCACATTTTAATCCGTTTGGTTGAAAATTGTAAAATTAAACGGGTGTGACCCCCTTTTTTGAAAATTTCAATTTTTCTGCAAAAAACATTATTTAAATCAATGTTAATCGGGTTTGACATAATTTTTTTGTAATCTTCGGGTAAAAATACAACACTAGAACCAAGATATAGAAAATTTCATTGTAATGCCTGTGCTTGAGAGAGGATAAAGAGGCCATTTCGTCCACCAAATCGTGTATTTTCATTAAAAACTCATTGAAAATGAATTCCAATCTTGTTTCTCGTATTTTTTTCGTAAAGTTCATAAAAAATACGTGTTCATGTCAATTTTGAAGTCAATCTTTTTATTAGATTTTTTACTAGAGCTTAATGAAATTGGACGAAGGGACAGGCAAAAACAATAGAGTTTCTGTTGTACACTTCGTGTACGAAATCCTAACAACGCGACATATTGATAATAACGTTTAAACAAGCATAAAACTGTGATTAGAGTATAAAATTAAGGATCTTGGTCGTGGAAAAAATCAGTCGGTCATGGAATCTCCCGTTCTATAAATACAAAATAATTCTACTAGAAAGTACGAAATTATATTAATTTTAAATTTTATGGCAATCTGAAACATAAGTAAGGTGAAATATTGGAAATTACGTTTAAAAAAGCATAAAACTGTGATTCGAGTATAAAATTAAGGTTGGTCGTGGAAAAATCAGTAGGTCGTGGTGTCTCCCGTTCTATAAGTACAAAATAATTCTACTAGAAAGTAAGAAATTATATTTATTTTATATTTTATGGCAATCTGAAACATAAGTAAGGTGGCATATTGGAAATTACGTTTAAAAAAGCATAAAACTGTGATTAGAGTATAAAATTAAGGTTGGTCGTGGAAAAATCAGTAGGTCGTGACGTCTCCCGTTCTATAAGTACAAAATAATTCTTCTAGAAAGTAAAAAATTATATTTCTTTTATTTTGTATGACATACTGTAACATAAGAGAGGTGGAATATTGGTAATTACGTTTAAAAAAAGCAAAAAACTGATTCGAGTATCAATTTAAGATTGATGGTCGTCGAAAAATCTGTCGGTAGTGGAATCGACTGTTCTATAAATTCTAACTAATTCCACTAGATACAGGGTGGCGAATGAAAAATGTTTTTAAAATTCCCTGTCTTTTCCCTGACCAAAAAAGAAAATTCCCTGACTTATAATCTTAAACATATTTATTAGTCAAAAAAGCAATGTAATTTTTGGATAAAAAATTTTTTTTAATAATTCTTTTTAAGGAATATATTAAACTTTAGTATCATTTTTATTATTTGAAATTAAATTTAATAGTAAAAATAATATTAAACTTTAAACACTTATAAACATTTTTGACAGTAAAATTGAAAAACAAATAAATAACAAGTTAAAGTTTTCTTAAACCTTGAATTTGATTATTCAATACATCGATTTCCTTTAAATTCCCTGATTTCAGACAAAATTCCCTGTCTCTTCCCTGACCATTAGAATACCCTGCCTATTCCCGGTTTTCCAGGTCGCTCGCCACCCTGTAGATAGAAATAAATTATATTTATTTTATTTCTGATGAGAATTTGTAACATAATAAAGGTCAAACATTGCTAAGAAAGTTTGAAAAGGCATTAAGTTGTGATTAGAGAATAAAATTAAGGTTGGTCGTGGAATCTCCCGTTCTATAAATACAAAATAATTCTACTAGAAAGTAAGAAATTATATTTATTTTATATTTTATGGCAATCGGAAACATAAGAAAGGATGTTGGTCGTGGAAAAATCTGTCGATCGTGGAATCTTATGTTCTATAAATTCTAACTAATTCTACAAGATAAAGTAAGTATGTCAATTTCTACGCGGCTTTAGTCACGTTAACTTTTAAATGAAAATACGATATTTCTGTTGAATAAAATTAACTTATAACTTGTTGCATTAATAGTTCATGTCATTTAGATATTTAAAAAAAATTAAAACCCTTTAAAAATACATTATTTAAACAAATTTAAACAATTAAAAGGTAAATCTAAATTTTGTAATACTTCGTTTTTTATCAGTTTCTAGAATTCTAGACCTGAGTAGGTTCTATAAAAAAGATTTTTTCAACGAATTCGTACTTAAACTTGATTTTCATATCCATACTAAGATACTTATGGGCCAAATTTTCTCCATAAAATTTGACCTATTTGCACAAGGTGTTAAACGAACTATTTCTTCTAGGAAAGCGTGCTTAAATTTAAATTTTATTTTCATAAATGAATTCAAGCTTTTATATAATTAGAAATTGATTTAAATATTGTAAATATATTTTTGTCATACTTGTTCTGAAAGTAAGAAAAAGGTCACATTAATAGTATGAAATAACTGTCAGATTTATTTTTGTCTTTGTTTATATGAATAGCTATAATTTTCAAGCGTTAGGGATATTCAAAGTCAAAATGGATTATCAAACAAAATCTATTATTTAAAATTCTTTCAGGTTGCCATTTTTAAGGTGTCATTTTGAATTTTTGAAAATTTTTTTTATAAAAGATTCGAAATAAAATTTTCTAAAGGTCTGAATAAATAATTTCATAATAAAAATTGAAGATCAGATTCAGATTCTGTTTTCAGATTCAGCGGCCTTAAAAAATTTGTGAATTAATTTGGGACAGAGGAAGATAAAACTGGTACATTAAAGTTTATGTTTTAAAGAATATATTTATACGTATTAAAATTTTAATACGTAAACACTTTATAATTAAATTGCAATACTGCAATAATACTGTTATAAACTTCTTTCAAAATTATAAAAGGCACGGAAGACCTAACAGAAGCATAAAATTGTTTTTGTTTATAGAATACAAAACGATTTAAATAAAATAAGTAATTATGAAAACCATTTGATGGTTAATAGTAACAAAAATAAAAACTTTCTCAATAACTTTCTTACAACATTTTCTTCTTATTCATGTAACTATAAATCCAAGTCTTAATTGAAGCTGGATTTTTCTTTTCCAGGCATTTTGTTCGTCCTTGTAGTTTCGATATATCTCCTAAGGATGGCAGTTTTCCAGCTGTGATATTGCAGTCGAATTCATTTAAAACTGCCTTTATTTCTTCATCGGTCCACCGATTTCTCACAATTTTCTGCTTCTTACTTGAATCTACAATTTGACGTTGATAAAATTGAATCGTATTTAAGTATATAAGAGAGTTCAGATTATTTTTCTATGGTTAACTTTTCGTGAATATTAATTGTGTTACAAGCATCATAATTACCATGAATTTTCATATTTGATTTTTTTAAACAACTTTAAAATTTTATTTGCCATGTTAATTATAGGATCATTTAGGGTAAATGTAAACAAGGGGTAAATGTAAACTGTAGCTATTGGAGGTTAATTTACAGATATTTAAAATTAAGTACGACATCAATATTTTAACCTCATGTCACCTGCTCTTGCAGGTTTTGAGTATTGGTAGTATTTTATTTTGACAATTGACAAACCCTTATGAGTTTGTTTGTCTTATGAGTTTTTATCAAAAATGCTCAAAACGCTTAATTTTTGTTATAATTAATTAAATTGTGATTATTCAATTATTATTATTTATTTTCAACCGATTTTTTTCAAGTTTTTCTATCCCGTAATGCAGTAGTAAACTTAAAATAACTTTTTTCTGAAACATTTCGGAGAAATACAGCTGTTTACATTTAACCCGAGATTTTGCATTTTTTGCAAAATTTCCGGCTAAATGTAAACAGCAGTTGTTAGCGATTCAAGGTTACCTGTATTTTCTAATACCCCATAAAATTGTTCTATAGAGCTCAAGTAATAAGTTAATGCCAACGAAAACCGTAAGTATTGCTTTTTAAAATAAAAAACTTACGTTATTGTCGAAACTAAGCAATTCCGTTTACATTTACCCCGATTGACACTTTAAAAATTAATTTTGCTGTTTTAAAAGTAAAACAGTTGGAAATTTGGTTTTAACTTTGCTAGAAAGTTGAAATGTCACTAGGTGAACTGCAAAGAATTACCCTATTGAGAAGCAAAAAACAATTATCCTAATAAATAGCACTGATGATTTCCATAACGTTGCATTATCATTTCCTTCAACGAAAGCGGGCGGCGTTAAATTATTTCTAGTTTGCTTCCAGTGTGAGCTTGAAACCATTTCAATGTCCGATGGTGGAAATGCTCGTTTCCTATGTAAATTTACTATCGTGCGTAGTAGTTTTCCTTAATATTAAGGGCTGCACAGTTAATTTTTTTGGACTGACACGTAAGGTCTAACGATGTTTTGGTAATAATACAATATAATTTATTGTTAAGAATATTTTTTGTTTTAACAAATTATTTTTTAGTAAGAAATCCTAAATTTACATGGGAAACGATTACATATATCCACCAAATGACATTGTGATGTTTTCAGGCTCACAATGAAAGCAAACTGGAAATGATTTCACGTCCCCCGCTTTCGTTGCAGAAATTAGGGGAATGATACAAGCATTCAGCATCTCCTATAAACGTTTTCATGACTTTTATTACATAAAAACCATATTCACAACTACGTAAGTGATTCTATAATAACTGTTTTTTTAGTTTGCTATGATAACGATTGCAGTGACAGCAGTTGCCCAGGTAACTGTTTCAATAAAGTAAATTTATGAACATAGTTTTGATTGGATATAAAGAAACATATTTTTATAGTAAAGGAAAGATTTTTTCAATTTAAAAATAGTTGCTCTAATATAGCTCATGTTTTTTTGTATATATATATACACACCTCTGTTAGAATGAGCTTCTCGAGAACCTTTAAATTTCTTACTTTCGTGCTTGATCACTTTATCATGAGCGGATTTACTGACAGATTGACTTGCGGCTTCACTGTCGGCTTCACTGTAGGATTCACTGTCGGATTCACTGGCGGATTCACTGGCTTTCCTCTTTCTATTTCCAACTAGTTATAAAAAAATTAATATTTATTTAATATTATATTAATTAAATTACTGAATTAAATTTTCGTTCTGACATTGACACTGCAATTTACAAGAGAAAAAATAGATCGAGAGAAAAAATTATATTGCGATTTACGCTCAAGCGGATAGTAAATACTGCACTTACACACCTATGCGTGACTTGCAAACAATCCATACCAATATAGCATGGAGTTTTGTTATGATAGCATCAGGCTCGGGGGTTTTTCGCATCAACTGTAGTAATTTTGCTTACTAAAATCATCGAAAATGCAGAAAACATCGGGAATTTTTGTCGCAGAGTGAGGAAACTTCTCAAGAAGCGGCCACAGCTCGGCTGCCTGCCTGCCTGCGGACAGACGAGTTAAGGAAGCGGCATAAGTGAGCGAGAAGAAAAATTTAAATTTGAATTTTCTTTCTAGCTTACTCTCACGTCGTGCCCCTTTCTCCGTCTGCCCGCAGGCAGACAGGCAGCCCAGTGGTGACCATGCCTTAACTGTGCGACTGACCACGTATAGTCGATTTCGTTTGATAATAATTTTTAATTTTTATAATAAACAATAATTAAGAATAATTTTACATTTAATTGACAGTTTATAAACTCTAATAAACACTTATAAAAAGAATAATCATTTTATAACAAAATTTGAAAAATTTATGAGGGTGAGAAATTTCCTCAACTGCGACCAACCTCGTTACAAAAAAAAAGATGTGACCTACGGAGGGTTAAGTCCTCTCACTGTATACTTTCAACAAATATGTGCTTCTATGATAAAAAAATTTTAAACACATTCTACTCAAAAAGTTGAATTTGATCACCAAAATTATTGTCAGATACGGTTTCAGTCTACAACGAAAGTTACGGGGAAACATAGTTATAATCACTAGACTAATCACTGGGAAAGCCACACGGAAAGACTTTGTGTATCAAATTCTGCACAGTGGGTTTAAACAGATTACTATGAAAAGTCAAAATAACCCTAAAATTTCTTTCAGGTTTGTATTCTAGAACAAAGAAGAAAAAATTCAGAGGCAGAATCAACATCATCCATCTGTCCCTTTTTGAGAAATTCAAGTTTTTCTTTAAAATCGCGTAATTTCTCACTTTAGAATGTTTTCACCTTTATGAAAAAGAATTACTGGATGAATCACTGGACGAATTACTGGATCCAGTAATTGTGATTATTAGACGAATTGCTGGAGTTTAAGTAGTTGTAATTACTGGATTAATCACTGGGAAATCCAGTGAATATTTCGCTATTTTTTTTAAATTACAATGAAACCGCAATTTTGAGTTCAGCAAGTAAATTCTTTAACAATCTACATACAGCGAAATAATCACTGGATTTACTGAATCTGAATTACTGGATCCAGTAATTGTGATTATTAGACGAATTGCTGGAGTTTAAGTAGTTGTAATTACTGGATTAATCACTGGGAAATCCAGTGAATATTTCGCTATTTTTTTTAAATTACAATGAAACCGCAATTTTGAGTTCAGCAAGTAAATTCTTTAACAATCTACATACAGCGAAATAATCACTGGATTTCCAGTGATTAATCCAGTAATTACATCCAGTGATTCATCCAGTAATTCTTTTTCATAAGGGCATGCAAATAAGGCAGGTCTACATAATCTAATGTATTTTGAGGTGCTGAAAACGATTCCGCTGGTCCCAAAATTGTCTATCACGTTGGGATTTTGAAAAAAGTGGGCGTATAATTTCCAAAAACGTAAATTTGGGTTGTGCAATATCCATTTCTCTTCCTGACGAGTTGCAGACTTCAAAAAATCTTAAAATTGAAGCTTGAATCATACAATACACGACCAATATGCGCAAGACAAAAATATATACATTTTTTGAATAAAATATGGTTATAAGAAAAAAATATTATTCTTCAGGTGCTTTCATAAATTTTCCATTTTTAATCTAAGATGTTACCTAAAATGAATTTAAATTGAAACTTAAATTTAGTGGCCTCTAGAGAAAGTAAAAAAAGCTCCTTGACTTTTCGTTGACTTTTTACTGACCTTCTTCTGACATTCCCGGCTAGATAATGAGCGTGTTTTTACATCCTGAACAATGTCAAACTCATAGTTTTCTTATACAAAATAAGAATGCCCAGCTGAAAAATTCCGTCTGGATTTTCACATGGATCTTCCATGTAGAAATTCATGTAAAGATTTGAAACTATTCAGATGGAATCTGCCTGGATTTCCTCATCAATTTTTTTAAATATTTAGCATACACAAAATATGAAGAAAAACCTCTTTAAAAATGTGAAAAACAGTAAGTGAGACCCCTTCGGGGTCTCGGAATTCGAATTTGGTGTTCGTTTTTGAAAACATTTCAAAATAAAGAAAATGAAGGAATTTCCATGTGGATTTACATCTGGAATTGTTTCAAATCTCCACATGGATTGCCGTGTGAAAGAACCAGCTCGATTTTTTCAGCTGGGATATGCTCCTAATGACAAGTGCAAATATTAACTTAATTCATTTGCATTGTTTGTTTGTTTCATCTCTAAGCACAATTTGAGTTATATTGCAACTTATTTGTTAATATTTGACCTGTTTTAACTATAGATATCGTCAGACAGAAAATCAGGATAAATTAATTTCTAGTTGAATAGTATATTTATGCATAAAACAAAAGATACCACGACCGTCTGGTTTTTCGAAAACGGAACATGATTGACATCTCTAATCACAATTTAAGTCTTATTTCAAATTATCTATTAATATTTGACTGTTTAGACTATCTATATAGTCAGACGGAAAATCAAGATAAATCATTTTCTAGTTGAATAGTTTATGTATGAATAAAACGATAGATACCACGACCGGATGGTTTTTCCACGACCGAACATGATTGGAACCTCTACGCACAATTGGAGTCTTATTTCAACTTCTTTATGAATATTTTTCCTGTTCTTGCTATGCATATAGTCAGACAGAAAATTTGGGATTGATGTTTTTAATAGTTTATTTCTAAGTTTGGCATTATTTTAATTATTTTACAATTAGATAATACAGTATAAGACTTAAAATGTTGGTCACTAGTGAAAGAAAACATAAAAATTAGGTCAAATTCAGGAAATTTGTCAATCGGCCAGAAAAGTATATATACAAGGCTTAAAATTATTCTCTTGTTAATGCATGGCGAGGAAGCCTTGCATCAAAAAATTTAGATGAAAACTTAAATCTAGTAACAAAAAATGCAAATGAATGAAATTGATATTTCCACTTGTCATTAGGAGCGATTTTAAAGAAAAAATCAAATTTCTCAAAAAGGGTCTGATGGATGATTTTGATTCTGCCTTGGAATATCTTCTTCTTTGTCGCAGAATACACTCCCGAAAGAAAATCGTGGTTATTTCAACTTTTCATAATAATCTGTTTAAACCCACCGTGTCGTGCTTGACTCATGCTGAAAACATCCGGCCTATTCAGGTGACGTCACGTTTGTACATCTCTGGAAGCTAAATTCTAAATTTAGGCGCACCTGCGCGCGCCGCTCAAAATACTGCAGTTTAAGCTTGCTCTACTGGTCATATAACGGGCTTAATCGTGCGTGTGTGATGAAATTTGTTTTTTTGGATTATACTTATTCTACACATTTCAAAATACTTTTTTTATCCCACAGGCACAAAATTGGCGCTTTTAGGTTAAGAGACGCACGGATCAAAAGCCACTCATTTCTTCTCCCGTCTAAAAATTGCGACCATGTTTTCTAAGGGTAAAAAGAACAGCTGACCCATGTGTTTTTTTTAACCTTGGGAAAACACGGTCACCATTTTTAACCGGGAGAACAAATGAGTGGCTTTTTCATCCGAGCGTCACATAACCTAAAAGCGCCACGTTTCTGCCTTTGGAATATGAAGTATCGTAAGGAACACGGAAGTAAAGGCAGACCAATTAATTTACGTTGTATTTTGGGGAACTTGTTACGGCCTCGGGATGCCATCGGCACCCTCGACCTTCACTCTTACCCCAAAATTCAACGTAAATTTATGGCTGCCTTTACACCCATGTTGCTTAATATACTATTAGTCGTTTTACGATATAAAATATTTTTAAATTTACTGAACAATTCAGTTAAACTATGAAAAATGTTTAAGGTATTAGTAAAAAAAGACTGCTGATTGGGGGCCATTCATTAATTAAGTAAACTTCTAGGGGGAAGTTACAAAATATCTACATGGCTTTATGATGCAGAGAGGGTGGTTAGAGCTTTTCTTACGCAATATTTTACTAAAAATTAAAATTTGTTTTTTCTAAGAAAGATAAATTTTTAACGCTTTTTTGTAAACGAACTCTTTTTGTTCAATTTTACGTAATAAGGGGACGGGGGATCCGACAAATCTTACGTGTCCTCACATGGGAGATCCTTACATGTTATTGATGGCTAGCTGTCAACTTTAACGAGATAAGACATAATTTCAATGAAGTAAATTAGTATTCCTACATACTTTTGACCGGGTGAGAAGAAAAATATTTTAAAAGTAAGACTAAGATCTTCCTAGTTTTAATATAGTTTTCCTAATAAGACGGATTATTTTATAGTCTAATACTCACCTTTTTTAGATTGAACTTCTCGAGATGTTTTAGACTTCTTTTGTTTGTGCGGATCATTAGCGGATTTAGTAGCAGATTTGCAGGCGGATTCACTGGCAGAATTACTGTTCTTGATATTCACATTTTTACCTGATAAGTAATAAATTTACGGTAAAAATTTTAATAGTTTTCCTTTTTCTTTTTAGGGTTCCATACACACATGAGCAAGGGGATATTTAATAGATTACATAAAAATTAATTGTTACAAAACTGTTTTGATTTTTGCATGTGAAAGAGCAACTTAAAACCTATTGATTGACATCAAACACCTAAAATTTATAAAAGTAGTCATAAGGTCTCTTTTCTCATGGAGCATCTCATCTACCAAACAAATAAAAAATAAAGAACTTTTGAAAATGTTCATTGTTTTTAAAAGTAATATGTACGGAAAGATGAAAAAACCAAATGTTACATGAGATCCATACAACTGGCAAGGGCAAAAAATTGATGAAATTAAGAATGAAATAATTTGCTACTTGTAATTCATAAAATACGTTAAACTCACAAGGTAAAAAAATCTAGGCACTAGGGGGTGGGGTATATGATTATGATGCCAGAACCAAACAAATAGGGTTCATAATGTGTATGGAACCCTTAAAAGTTTTAAAATATGTCACAATCTTTGAACGGTATGAAAACGTGATTGCAAAAAAATAAAAAATTTGCCTCGACTTCTTCAAAAACCAATCATCGTTGATATTATGTATAATAATGTGTGTTAAAAAGAATTAAAATACTGATAGTCGCAGAATAAGGAAAAATAAAAATTTAGATAAACATTTTTTACGGACATGTACATAGTTTATATAAAAGAAATATTTAGATTTAAATGTATATAATTAAAAAATAAATGATTTTTAAAAAAGCTAGGAATTACTAAGTATGCAAAATTTATACACAAATTACACTGAATTTGTGACTTAAACAAGTTTTAATTGAAAAAATAAATAGGTAAAAACAATTTTTTTTATGATTTACGGTTTAGGAAAAAAATCAAGACATATTCACGGGTAGTTCAAATCCTGCCCTAATTCTGCGGCAATGTTGCATTTAGGGGTTAGTGGAGCTTCAAATTTCTTTTCCTTCAAATACGTTGATCTAGATGCAAAATTGAAGCATTTTAAACAGTTCTTAAAACGGAAAACCAGTCAGGGCGTTAGCTAGGAACATTAATCTCTTTAATTTTGAGCTAAATTTTTTTGCGGAGCTACAATTTTTTTCCCTTTGCAAATATGTTGTTTCAGATGCAGAACTAAAACATTTTTAACGCTTTTTATGACGGACAACCAATCAGAGCGCAACTTAGGAACATTCAGCTCCTTAATTTTGAGTTAGATTTTTTCAAGAGTTATAAATTTTTTCTTCTTTAAATATGTTGCTTCAGATGCAAAAGTGAAGCATTTTAAATAGTTCTTATGACACAACTAATCAGGGCGCTAGCTCAACCAATCGGACAAATTGTTTTTCCTTCGAATATGATGTATCAGATGCAAAAGTAAAGCATTTTAACTAGTTTTTAAAACATTTAACCAAACAAAAGAAATATGGCAGTAATTAAGGATATTAATGTTCCTAGCTAGCGCCCTAATTGGTTGTCCGTCATAAAAAGTGTTTGAAATGATCGACTATCACATCTGAAACAATCAATTAAAAGAAGAAAAAAATCCTACCTCTGGAAAAAATCTAAGTTTAAATTAAGCAGATTAATGTTCCTACCTAGCGCCCTGATTAAATGTCCGACTTAATATCTCTTTAAAAAGTTACACTTTTGCATCTGAAAAAACATTTTTGAAGGTGAAAGAATTTAAAGCTCCTGAAAAAAATTTAATTCTAATTTAAGAAGATTAATGTTACTAGCTAGGGCACTGATTGGTTCTCTATCTTAAAAAATGTTTAAAATACTTCACATCTGAATCTGACAACATATTTGAGAAAGATAAAATTTGTAGCTCTTGAAATAATCTAGTTTTAAATTAAGCAGATTAATATTCCAAACAAGGGCAGTGATTGAATTTTTATCTTAAAAACTGTTTAAAATGCTCTCCTTTTGCATCTGACACAACATATTTTAAGCAGAAAAAGATTCTAACTCTGGAAAAAAGTAGGGCTAATTTAAGGGGATTAATGTTCCTATAGCTAGCGCTTTGTTTGGTTATACATCTTAAAAACTGTTTAAAATGCTCCACTTTCGCATCAGAATCACCAAATCTAAAGGAGAAAAAAATTCCACCTCTGGAAAAAATCAAGGTCTAAATTAAGCACCCTAATTAATTGTCCGTCTTAAAAACAGTTAACAGCGCTTCAGTGATATAACACATTTAATAAAGAAATAAATTGTAGCTCCGGAAAAAAATGGAGGTCTAATTTAAGGAGATTAATGATTTAAGCTACGATCCTGATTGGTTGTCCGTCTTAAAACCTGTTTAAAATACTTAGTTTTTGGATCTGAAACAACATATTCGCGGGAGAGAAAAACTTGTAGCTCCGAAAACACTCTAGGTTTTAATTAACTAGCTAGGGTCCTGATCTGTTCTCAATCTTAAAAATTTGTTAAATACTTCATTTTTGAATCTGACACAACATATTTGAAAAAGATATAATTTGTGGCTCCTGAAATAATCTAGTTCTCAATTAAGGAGATTATATTCCTAATCTAGTTATATATAATGGATGTTATTGTTCGTAGCTAACGCCCTGATTTGTTATCAGTCTTAAAATCTCTTGAAAATGCTTCAAGTTTGCATCTGAAACAACATATTTGACGGTGAAAAAAATAGGAAAAAAATTTAGGTCTAATTTTAGGAGATTATTGTTTCCAGCTAGCGCCCTGATTGTTTGTCAGTCCTAAAATCTATTTAAAACGCTCAACTTTTGCATTTGAAACAACATATTTGCAGGAGAAAAAAATTGTAACTCCGGAAAAAAATCTAGATATAATTTAAGAAGATTAAGGTTCCTAGCCAGCGCCTTGATTGGTTGTCCGTCTTAAGAACTTTAAAATGTTCTAATTTTGCTTTTGGAACCACATATTGGTAGGAGAAAAAATTTGATGCCCCGCTAACCCCTAAACGTTACATTGCCGCAGAATAAACGCAGGATTTGAAGTGCCCCATATTCACAGATCTTTTAATTTATACTTGAATTGACAACGTCTAATATAACATACGTACCTGAGGAAGGATTTTGTGCGTTCTCTAACACAACGGCCATTCCTACTATATCTTTGGTCACATCATCAACCTCATAATAATCATGATGGATTTTTAAATCATGACCCATGTATTTGGCCACGTGAGAGATTTGTTTTTCGGTGCATTTAGTTGCGCAAGTTGTTGCAAATTGTTTTCGAAGTAACGTGCCTCTTAAAGTTTCAGGATTTTTAGCACCACATGCATATGAAAATTTCCTTATTAGTTCGCAAGCTTCCAACGATTTGAATCTCGCTCCTTTTTTGCTGGGCACAGCGAAAAAATAAGGATTTTTTCTGTTAACTCCTGCATTTTTCCTGTTCTGTTTGAGAATTTCCATGCTTTGCAATGATTCTTTGCAGGCGAGTACGGGCACTGGTCGATTCAATTTCCCTCGGATGAGGAAGCGATTATACTCTTTTGCGGATTTTTTTCCTTTTTCCTGTAATCTTTTGTATGCGTCATCATTTTCATCAATTTCTTGGCGATTATCGTAATCTTCTACAGCCAGGTATTGCATTTCTCCTCGCCTTTTTCTATTGAAGACGAGAAGATAGATCAAAATTACTTCACTCAAATGTCTCCAAGCATCAAGAGAAAAGTTTTGTTGAATAGATTTATACGTGCAGTTGCGTTCGTTTATTAAATAATCCATCAGGGTATTGATGTCTTCAACATTCGGTAGGATGATTTTCTTCTTCCTCTTCATATCGATTTGAGTTTCTGCCACATTCTTGTTCACATAAACACCGAATCTCGTTACAAAAACCACCATAAAATCTTCTACTTGGCCTTTCTTCTCTTTGTCAGTCAGGATAATATATTCACACTTCAATATTTCACTACATTTTCGTATCGCTGTTCCTAGGGCAGATGCTGTACTTGGAGATGCATACTTTTGGGTCTCCTCATCGAAGCGAGCAACTGTATTTACTCCTTTCAAAACGTCATTAAAATGCTTCGGATGGAACGCGTCAGCCAACTCACTGATTTTGTGATCACTTTGGTGTTTTTTTGTTATTTCTCTCAAAGCTAGAACTAACCTTCCAAGTAGCCTTAAAAATCCACGAATCATGGCTTCCTGATGAGGTAACTTGTGTTTCACCGAAAGAAGATTCCCATAGAGTATGATCAGCCTATCGTACTTGACGACTTCAGTAATTTCGTCATTTTGTCGCAGAACAGGTAAGATAACGTGTCTCATTTTGTGACTCGCGTCTTGATGCACTCGACCGAGTTTTTGGGCTGCATTTTGTAATACAGATCTCGTTCCGCCTGAATTCGATTTTGTGCAATTTGCATAATGGTGTCGTAGATTGTTTATCGCATAAAACCCGGTGCATCTTGGACAGTTCACAAGTTGAGCAGCTGTTTTCTCCTTTCCAACTTGGCATCTGCGAACTGCTATAACATGACCCTTATTTAATGTGGGGCTCGTGTTGTGCATAAAGTCACCTTTTTTTCTTATTATAGCAATGGCTTCGCGTCTTTTCTCAGAACGTACATCAAATCGGGTGAAGTTTTTAACTAAAGATTCGTTTGGATGTTTTCTTTCCAAATGGCGAGCAATTTGTAGTTGCATGGTGTTACAATATAGACAAAAGTGTTGTTTTGCTTTTCCAGTTGGACCTAGTGATACAGGAACATTCAATTCAGATGCTGGTACAGATGATTTTCCTGGATAAGCGTATAACGAAGAAAAACTATTGGCATTTAAAACAGATTTTTCACTTGTACTTTCCTTGGTTGAGTTCAATGTGTTTTCATCATTTTCGTATTCGCTTGATTCATCCTCGGATTCTTCACATTCATCGCGCGCGGGTAAGTAATCTGCATCGTAGATATCATCGTCGTCGTCGTCATCATCATCATCATCTGAAAATCCAGCTATGTCATCTAAATCTGCCTGATCATTAGGATTTTCCAAGGAGGACACTTGATTTTCTCTCGTTGACGCACTTTTACCGATGATTGTGGAAGCTGAGGAACTAGTTTCTTTTGAGTTCAATACAATTGCAGCTATGTCTTCTAAATCTGCCTGATCATGAGGATTTTCCAAAGAAGACACTTGATTTTCTCCCGTTGACGCACTTTTACCGATTATTGTAGAAGCTGAGGAACTACTTTTTTTGGAGTTCAATACAAGCATTTCGGTAATTTTAGGTTTCTTAAATTGACATGAATCTGAATTAGGTGGTCTTAATGTATCATACCCATTTGTTTCATCTATATTAACGAATTTTATTGCACTGCCTACAGCAACGTCTGCAAGCGAAGGAACTTTAACGGGAATACAATTGAAATTACTCAATTGGTTGAACTCGGTATTATTTTTCGGTACTTGAGAGTCATCATCAATGGATTCTACAAGATTCTGATCGCCATAAACAAATTCACAGTTGCTCAGGTCTAACATTTCGTCAAGATGGATAACTTCTTTATTATTCAAAAAAATTTCAATTTTCGTTTCAGGTACTACGTGGGATTGACCATCAGAGAAAGAATTCTGTTTAAAACAATGAGTCGAAGAATCTGTGATAACAAGCTCGGATTGTTGTGGCAGATGAATGTTAATTTCGTCTGGTTTATTATTACATTGATTGTCGTTATCATCAAGGATTAAATCAGCAATTTTGTTTTCAGGTGCAATGTCTGTGATAACAAGCTCGGATTGTTGTGGCAGATGAATGTTAATTTCGTCTGGTTCATTATTACATTGATTGTCGGTATTATGAAGGAATAAATCAGCAATTTTGTTTTCAGGTGCATTTTCTGTGATAACAAGCTTGGATTGTTGTGACAGATGAATGCTAATTTCGTCTGGTTCATTATTACATTGATTGTTGTTATCATCAAGGATTAAATCAGCAATTTTGTTTTCAGGTGCAATGTTGGATTGACGATCAGGCGAAATATTCTGCTTAGGAGAATAAGCTGATAAATCTCCGTTGTCAAGATCGGTTGGTTTTGGCATGCGAGTCTGAATTACAACAGATTTATCATTACATTGATTGTCGTTCTCAATGCGGATTAAAACAGCAATTTCTTCTTTAGGTATTATGTCGGATTGATCTTCAACCGAAGAGTTATGCTCGACGGAAGTACAAAATTTAATTCCATTTTCTTCTTTTCCATGGACAATAAAAGTTTCCGAGTGAATTGAATTACGAGGTTGAGTTGGACCAGCTTCTTCAATTTCTAAGTAGATAAAAATAATAAATGGTTAGTTCATGTTTTTTCATTTGGAATTACTTGCGTTAAGTTTAAAATTAATTTTACTTATGCAACCAGTGGATTTAAAATTGGTTCAATTAAATCCAGTAGTACAAAGCAGATGAAATCGCAATTATTTCTAAATTCGAAATGTAAAATGATATAGTCCTTAACACTCCAAAATTAATTATTTTTATAATATTATATAAGTAAAACATTATGTCTTTAAAGAGTAGTAGAATATAAGAGAATAAAGAATTTTCTATTTTATTAAAGAAACGTGTATGTCACCTTAAGATAATTAAAAAGAGATCAACTTTCGGTCCACCTCTTTTCTGGCAAATTTATTTTCTGTAAAATTGACTTTCTGGCTAATTAATATTCGAACAAATTAACATTCTGGTAAAATAGATTTATGTCACATTGTTCTTCTGCGACATTAAGTTTCTACTAAATTACCATTCTGACAAATTTAAATTCCATCAAATTTTCTTTCTCGCAAACTAAAATTCGATCTAATTGAATTTTTGACAAATTAGAATTCCATCAAATTAAATTTCCGTAATATTAAAATTCTAACAACTTAATATTCTGCCGATTAAAATTCTTTCAAATTAAACTTCTAACAAATTTATTTTAGAGCTTATTCATGCGTCCCGGAAAAAACATTTGCGTGCTAATTTGAGTTCACCGTGTGAAGTGTGATATAAAAAATTTAAGTTATATTTACCTTCATTATGTTCCAATTCATTGTTTCCATCAAAAGTAGTTGAATTTAAAAAACTACTACCACATAAATCGAGTAATTCAGACGCACCACTGGGAGCAGGACTCGAATTTTGTAGCACATCCTCCAACACGACTCTTACTTCTTTTAAATTAATTGAATTATTGAACATAGAATCAGTCAAGTCTTTTTTTGATAGAGACAAGTCCTCCAATTTCTCCAAGACGATTGAGACTTCTTTTAAATCAATTGATTCTAAAAAGTATATTGATTTATTTAAAAAAAATCTAACATGTTTTAGTTTCTAACTAAATTTTTTTTTTGAGATCAATAGACTACAAGGTTATGAATGGTTCATTTTACCAAAGGGCATTAAAATTCGTCGAAAATGAAAAAAAGTAATATATATTTCTTATAACGTGAATTCATTTAAAACAAGTAAATACATGTAAATTATTTGCCAATTACTCTCCTAAATATTAAAATTGCTTTTTTTTGTCTTCGTACAGTGCTTTTAATTTGACGAATATCTTCTACAGAGAAGAAAGAAAACGCGAAAATCCTTTTCATCTTAAATAGTATTAATTTTATTAAGTCAATTCAAGTGGAATTTGTTTGGGACCTCGTCTCGTTACCGTTTGAATAATTTTTTAAAATTAATAAAACGGTAACGAGACGAGGCCCCAGAAAAAATTCACTTGAATTGAGTTAATAATTTTAATACAAAGTAAGCTCAAAAGATTTTTACGTTTACTTTTTTCTCCAAAGAAGAAATTTGTCAAATTAATGACACTGTACGAGGACAAAAAATAGCAACTTCAATATTTAGGTGAGTAATTTTCAGACAATTCACATTTATTTACTTTAAGATATATCTTAAATTAATATATGTTACGGGCAATGTTCAAGAGACGAGCAAGGTCTGACAATGCCCGGGCACTGTCGAAAATGCCCATAGCCGCTGGGCATTGTCCAAAATATAAGTAACATTCGAATTTTCCGGGCAATGTCGACAATGCCCGGTCTGTTTTGGGCAATGTCGATATAGCCCGGTGTGATTTTGTCAATGTCAAAAATATTCGATCTAGCTTAATACATGATAATGTAAACAAATTTCATATTATTAAATTTTCGATGAACTATCGAAAGTTAATTGTTGCGCTCAAAATAAATGCAAATGTTTAAACAGCAATAAAAAATGTACGTCGAACTGTTACGGCAGTCTCTCATGTAAAAATAAATAAATTAACAATGTCAAGTCCTCTAATTTCCAAATTTTTATGAACTTAAATTTCATTACACCGAAATCATATAATTTTCAAATTATTACTACGTTGCCTAGACTTTGGAAACATTGCCCAAGAATCACTAGGCAATGTTGACAATGCCCGGGCATTGTTGAATTTTAATGCATCATGTTAAAAAAAGTTGGTCATTGTCGACAGTGCCCGGGCATTGTCAGACCTTGCCCGTCTCTTGACCATTGCCCGTAACATATACATTATAAAAAATATAAATTACTTACATTTTTTCATTTTCGATGAATTTTATTGCCCTTTTGTTAAAAGGACTATTCATGACCTTGTAACCTATTGATCTCTAAAAAGACTTTAAAAAGAAACTAAAACATATTTGGCCATATGAAACCTTACATGACAATCAAATTGTATTCTAAAGTCTTATGTATCAATTATAGGTTTTTTAAAAATCATCGCGCAACCAGCTTTTGGTGATTTTCGTTGGAATGAGCCATTTTTAAAATTATAAATTTGTGGACGTCCGCATGAAAAGGGAACACTTTATCACTATTTGACTTATCTATAAAGGCACAATAAGAATTCAATTCAAAATTAAAGCAAAATAAATTTAATATTCAAGGAACACAAAGCTTCAAAAACTGTGGAATTAATCGTACGGTTGCAGAGTATTTTTAATCAAAAAATTAAAGTTAGAGATATTTTTAGGGCTCCGTACACCGTAGGTGTACCGGACGGAACCCTTATGGAAAGACTCGTGCGTCCCTCCCAGAAAAAGGTGTCCCCAATTAACTTTTACAATTTTCGACCTAGTCAGCTGAAATTTGGTACCTATACGTATTTTCATGCGTAGATTACAACGAACATGCTGGTTATTACCGAAAATGGGGGGTAGAAATTGAAACGTTTCCCTATTGGTGTCGGTGGGTGATGGGCGTGAGTTTCGGGATGACGCGGCCAGGGATCCGAGGTGTGATAGATAATAAAGGTCCACTCATCAATTAATCATCACACCTGGAGACCGGCTGCCGATCTGTTCCTGGATTTCGCGCTTTCGCTTGGGACGCATATAGGTAAGTCTGACTTTTGAAACTCTAATATTTTCCTGTTGAGATAGTGAATTTTACGTTGCAAATATATTTGAGGGGAAAATTAACTGATTTAATGTGAATCAGTGAATATAATGTAAATTTGAATTGGATTAACGTGGCGTGATTAGAGAACGGATTTGGGGGAGGATCGCGGTGGCTAATATCACCGACTTGGTGAATTTTGAACCGTGGATGTGCCTTGGCTGATGCTAAGCAAGATCAGAACTGCAGAAATAAAAGGCGTTCAAGAGATCTTTATACGGAACGGGGACTGGGTCGTGAACCACAGCACAGCCACCGCCTCACAAACAGCCGGTATCTACACTGAAAAAATTTAAGTGCATCGGACGCACTGGAGGCCGCGCATCGTTTGTACTACTACCTCAGTGCAAACGGTGTACTGAATCCAGGGCATCTCACGTCCCGAGTGCCGGAACATCTCTTCTCCTGACTGATACCAGGACACCGTTTGTCTGTACGTATCAGTGCAGGAAATGTACTGTGACAGTGCGCCTGGTGTCTCGAAACAGAGCATCTGATGTTCTGAGTGCCAGTGCAGCACATGTCCTGGTGCTCGGGATATCTGGTGTACTGATCAGGACATCTCATGAACCGAAATTTTTTCAGTGTACAGGAGTAGATTAGTCTGTTATTTTTATCTTTGCTCGTAAAGGTGTCAAAATGAGATGATTGATTAAAAATTATATATATTATTTAAACTAACATTATTCTTGGACTAGCGTGAACAATTCTAATTATATTCACGCAATAGATTGATTTCTTAATTTTTGAAAAAACAAGTCCTTCGATATTATAATATTCTTGTTTGTATAATTGTGTGTCATTGAGTGTGTATTTAATTTTTAACGAGAAATCTGTTAAACGAGAATTCTTCCATATGAAAATCTAGCTGCAAACAATTATATACAATTATTTCTATGGGATCGTCATGCGCGTCGGAAAAGAGTGGCGCGAAAATTCAAATAAAGTTAATTATTAAGAGAAATACATTGATTTACTCATTTGGTGTATTTTTAAATTGAATATAAATAAATGTTTTTAATATATTAATTTATTTTTTCACTCAATACTTTATTTTAACTTAGTAAAAAAATATTATTACGATTCCGTATCACGAAAATACCATGAGCTGCGCCATTGTGTTACGTCCCTAACTCTGAAACACTACGTTATTCAAAGTATATTACCTTTTTTTCTTTGAAATTTTTATTATTTACAAATATATACGTCTCGATATAAAGGTTATTACTTATAAATGTTATTTTTAATTTACATAATAAATGTATTTCCCTTGTGAACTTTTAGAAATAGAAAATTGTACCTTTGACTAGCGTCTTAGAACTAACCACCTTAAGTGCAAATATCTTTGGTTCTTTTGGGAAGTTATTCAAATGAGAATTTTTTTAAATCGAGGACACCTTTAAGATGAAAAATTAATAGGTTTCGAATCCCCTCTCTTCTCCATTTCGGAAATAAAGGGGAACCGACAAATTAATCCCTTTTATAAAAATGCGATTCTTAATTAATAAACCGATTCTTTTTACGAAGTCAATAGCTGGACATAAATTTATTTATTTGATAAAAGAGAAGTAAAACTAGATTTTACTAAAAAAATTTAAGTGTCTTTAGTACGAATAATTTTAAAAAATATCGATAATTTATTTTTTAAATTGACAAAAACAAAGTTTTAAGAGCAAATATCTTCGATTATTCTGGGAGAGATCAAGTCAGTGTGAGAGAGAAAAAGATTAATTTGATTCATCGATTAATATATTTTATAAGCTCCTCATTTATTGGTGTATAACCTGAGTCTTATTGATAAGCAACGTGCCGTGACTTATTTTATGCCCAAACATTTTTTTTATATTTAAAAAGGTAGTATATTATCTGTGTGTTTAGCTAAATTTACTAGACGTGTATGTGCTAGAATGTATTTCCGTTCAAAGTGTATTTTTATGTTGCAATAAACCGTCGGAAATAACAGAAATTCACAATTTTTCCAATGGACCGATAAAGTAGGACATTTTCTTCTTTTACTTCAAACAATGAATCAGAATACTTAGACTGGCAAAAAATTATGAAAACTGCATAATTAGACGTGTAAACCTCTATAGATTAATAAAAAAAATATATAAAAAATCACAATTTTGCTTCAAAATTAGTATATTGTGATTATCTCGCACACTAGAACCAACAAAATGGTCACTTTTCATGCGGATGTCCACATATTATCGTAACTGTTGAATACAGCGATTTTCACTTTTAATTATTTTATCATGGGATCAGTTAAAGTAATTAAAAATAATTCCTAAATATGCTTTTAAAAAGCAGTTAAATAAATGCCATCTAGGATAATATTTAGAAACATGTCACTTAGAAAAAGGACTTTTTTGCTTCTATTTAATGTCAATTCTTGATGGCTAGAAATAAATAATATACATTTCACATACTGTTAGTATGCGTACTCGACGTATCTTTGGAGCAACTGATCGGTGTTGAGTGACTTCGCAAATTGTGACTGTGAAATGAATTAAACGAATCCATCCATGAAGTGTCTCCAGTTTTATCACAGCTCTTATTTCTTTTTACATCAATTTCGATGTCTGCCGCACAAGAATCGTTTACTTTTATCTCCTGTGAATCTAAAATAACGATTTAAATGTTATGGTCAATATATGAAATTGGGCAATGTCGACATAGCCCATAGTTACTAGGTATTTTCGACTTTGCCTGTTAATTTCGGTCTATGTCCGAAACTATTCATAATATGCGATTTTTCCATAAAAAATCAGCAATGTTTTATCCAGTTTAGGATCAGTACGAATCTGAAGTCAAAATGGATCTTATTTTTGAAATATACTCAAACACTAGGTGCATGAAGTTTGCAACGTTTAACAAACGAAACATAAATAATATTTATTCAAATTTATTTAAAGTAATCACTATCGGAGGTATACATTGTGAAAAATTGTCACGTAACATTGCTATTTGTTTATGTTTGGCTTATTGTGTTAAAAAAAATTTTAGTCTGATTCCTTTAAATATATTTTTGTTTATTTTTTGTCCAATAAACGTTGCAAACTTCCTGCACCTCAAACACTGCTTAACAACACGAATTTAAATCATAAATGGGAAAATCTCTGGAACTTTTAACTATTATGTCCCTCGCGTATATTTTGTTAATTCCAATGAAATTTTACCTGGTTTCTGTTGGAAAAATCAATACTTGATACGAGCAATCATTTCCAACAGGTTTCACATTAATTTATTAAATAAATAAATAATTATTTAATTTTCAATGCACGATTTTAAACAATTTCTACTTGTCCCTAACCATACTTTGTGGTGCTTTAAACGATAAAACTTTATTATTAAAAAAAATTACCAGTTCTAAGATACGTCATTTTAAAGTTAATTAAACGATGAACACATTTTCGCAAGAAAATTAACATTTTGTAAATTGTAAAAAAAGTTATAAGCTTTTAAAAGTTGTCCCTCACTTTTAACCTTTTTGACTGCAATCCTCTTATTTAGCATTTTTCTTTGATAAGACAATTGGCACACCAAAATAACTTATGAGAAATTAAAGTTCAAGTCATTAGAATTATTTTGAGACATATTAAATTGATGTGCCTCGTGTCTTAAAAAAATTATTGTAATTTTAATAACAGAAAACACGTGTGTACAAAATGAGAATTTTATTTTAAATAAATGTTGAAATTATTAACCAAATTTTATCATTTTTAAAAAATTGTAACTTCACAGTAATTTCCTTTCCATTGTTTTTCATTCCAAAATCAACCACCTGTTGAATACTTTCCTGTTTTAGGTTAACAATAATTTGCAATTTTAAATAATTAATAACTTTTTTAAGACAAAAAATTTTATCTGTCCACTTATATAATTTGAAATCTTCGTACTTGAAGTTTATGTTGACAGAGTTTCAATACTGTGCTCGAAAAAAAGAATTTTTTTTTCCTTTATTGAAAAGTTAAAAGTTCCAGAGATATGCCCAAATGAAAAAAATTACGTCACTATACTAAATTATTTCCATGTACTGAAAGCCAATGTTGGAATTGTCGGGTTGATTGAAAATTTCAAAATATATTTAAAAATCTGATCAAAAACAAAAAAATCAAAAAAATAAATTTTTTTATACCACGCGTGCATGAAAATCTCGTTTTATCGTGCACGTGAAGTAACTTACATAGAACAATATCTTCTGGAAGCTTCTTGGAAGCTGTCATGGTATTCCGTTTCACCAAATGTCATGGGAATATTCCCTGGAAGGTAATATTTCGAAGGAATGAAATTTCTTTCTTATATCATTCAAAATATACAATATTACCAAAAGTACCTTACGAATTCTTAAAATTTTTTGAACCGAATGTTCCTCTGTAATATTCGGGGAATATTCCCATGAATTTCTAGTGGAACATTCCAGGAAGATATCTTGCTATATTCGAAGTGAACACGGAGTTTATTACCTAGAGAAATCTTTAATTTGGAGACAGAGTCTGATTGGTCGAATAAACTCTGTGTTCACTTCCTACTTCACGCGCGCGATCAAAACGAGCTATTTGTACTTTGTCGCATGAAAAATCGTATGTAATTTGGGTGGGCCCTCGTTTATGTGACTTGCATAATATGCAAAGAGCACCGTGTTTGACATATAAACTTGGAGTTCCCACCCTTGTTGCATATTAAACTATTTCCCACATAATTATCCTCCTGAATCTGAATCCGAAGTCAGAACCACTAGACTAACTCAAACTTTCTTAAAAACTACAATTATTCTTGTATTTTTGGTTTAATTCATTTTTAAAAATTTCCCTAAAAATAGTATATTATACACCTAGGGTAGAATTACAAGTTTACTGACGAGCGCAATGTTTAAAGAACGAAACGGAGCAAGAGCACGCCGAAGGCGTGAGAGTGCGAAGTCGAGTTCGGACAACATTGTGCGAGGCAGTAAACGAGGGTCCAATCGTGGTCACAGTGTTCCTCAACGGCCAACAAGTTTAACAAAAATGTCAAAGAAAATTGCCAGTGCCATCTTTTTCTACGTATTTTATACTTTAAAGATCATTTTTGACCGAAATCCCATCTGATCGCGTTTTCAAGATAATCAAACAAGAAGGGGGTCCTTTTTATAAAAAGTTTATGTTCATTTCTCGAACATTATGCTTCCTCACACATTTTATTATTTAATTAATTTTTTTTTGTTTATTATACATTACATTTGTTACATTTATTATACATTACGTATGCATTACATACAAGAAAGAAGAATTTTTTAAACATTTCAAAAATTTTTTAATTTTGTTAAAGTTAAAAATACGATTAATTTTTTAATTTAAGTAAAATGTATACTTTATATAGATCAATCGATTCGTTTTGATGTAAGAAATCCAATTTTGTGATAATTTTATTAAAATTTTTTAATAAGAAAAAGTTAATTAAAAGAAACAGAATTCGACTTTTAAAAAAAAAACTAAAAACAGAGATTTTATCTATGAATTTATGTAAAGTATGGACTTAATATAGGTCAAAAAATTCGTTTTAATGTAAGGAATACGTTTTTTAGTAAACAATGTGGAATATATGCTAAAAAAAATTTTTTTGTAAAAGTTTAAATTTTTGAATTTTGGGAAAAGTGACCTAAAAAAAATTGTGTGCATATTTTCGGAAATCGTTGTGTCTGATTTTAGATATTACTGAAAGCAATAAGCTTGCAAAATTCCAGGACGATTCATTAAAACGTGTTTAAGATATCTTGTACACAAGAAGTGATGCCATACACACACATACACATACATCCGGACAAATGTTCCTCATGTCGAAATATATATTCCCTAAATAAAAATTTCTTAGAAAAATTGGTTTTAAGAAATTCGAAAATTTCGATCACTATAAAGCTACCTTGGAGAGGAAGCAAAAACAGTTTTAACATTTTATTAACATAATATATGATACAGTTACTATGTAGTATTTTGAAATAAAAAATCGGACATGTGCGAATTGGACTCGCACTGAAACCGAGGGTTCCGTACTCGTAATCAGCTTAAAAACGTCATAAAGGTTCATTTCAATCATTTTACTTTACGATTATCACAAATAAAGGCGTCATTTGTAAAAATATCTTTCTTATTAATTAAAATTATTAAGAAATATGCTAACAAGGAAAGAATTTGATTTTTATCGAAAAAATCGCGAAAATTGACCCTGTCCCCCCATATCCGATCAGGTTCGCTATACTTTTCCTGTAATCTACACGGCAAAATACACAAGTATGTAAGTTTTTAACTTACTAGGTGGGAAATTGTATGCGCCAGGGGGCATTACATGATTTTAACTTTATTTTCAAGAGATTTCACAAATTTCGACTTTTTGGTAAAAAAAACTATGAAGATTAATTCCAATCACTCTCTCTGCATTTTTTTTGAAATCTGCACGTAAAAAGACACAAGTAGACAAATTTTCATCCGTTTATGAAAAAAAATTCACCTTATATATGGCCGTTCAAAGATTTTGGATGAATTATCAATAGGTCCGAGTTTTTCGCAAAAAACAGTATGAAGATGAATTCTAATCAGAATCGCTATATTTTTCCTGTAATCTATACGGAAAAACACACAAGTGTATAAAATTTCAGCTCACTAGGTAAAAAATTGTATTTACCAGGGGTGATTACATGATTTTTCGACAAAATTGTCAAAAATCGTCAGTTTTTCGAGGAAAACTATATGAAGATCAATTACAATCGTGTTGGCTATATTTTTCCTGTAATCTACGCGTGGAAATACATAAGTGTGTTAATTTACAGCTCACTAGGTGAAAATTTGTAAGCGCCAGGGGGGGGTACATGGTATGCTGCTCGAACGATTCTAATAGGGTTCCTACCGAGTACGGAACCCTAAAAATGGTAAATTTGTGATTAATTCTGTACTCCCCTTGCCTAGTGCTGACGACATGGACGTAGATATTACAATGTAGCTCCATTATTATTTTTAAAAAATTGTTTAAAACATTTTCTAAAATTAAAAAAATTGATTTTTCTTTTTGTTTTTGGTACGTTTTTTCATTTTCTCAAATTGTTAATAAATTGTATTTAAGTACAAAAAATATATACATTATACAAGCTGACAAAATTGAAATCAAATGCGTAAAGAGGAAAATTCTTCGACGGTCTTTTGTAACCTTTCCGCGTATTCAGGATCGTCTAGCGAGTTAATTTTGTAGTTCTTCCATGTGTTCAAAAATTCTCGATTAATTGATTCGCCTGCTTCCTCAGACCACAAGCACAACCCCATTTTGTTTAAAGCATGTGTGGAATGTTTTAAATGTTCCAAAATTACGTGGATCTTCAATGATTCTGACGACTCAGTGCTATCAAAAGCTTTCTTGAGTTCATCGAGATACTCGTTCAGATTCGGTTTCACTTTTTCTGTTGAAAAGCAACAAACAACCAACTTATCCATTGCTTTTTAAGCAGATACAAAGGGAATCACTGCAAAGTAACCTACATTGATAATTAATTTGGCATAAAAATTTGAAAGTAATCCCTAAAAACTAATCATGGAGAAATATTTAAGGGCAATGCTTACCGAAAAATGATAAATATTCTGTTGCTCTTCTTGAC